CCCCTCATAGTTCTCTTTTAAAGGACAACTCCACCTTTGCTTCACTTATCCTTTAAATCCCCCGCCCCAAGTGCTACAGACTCAGCGGAAGACCCACCTCGGCCCTCCTCATCCCATGACTTGCACTATACTGCTCAGTCCACAGCCCACACAGACTCCCTCCTGAAGCGTCCTCTTCCTGTGCATCCCACGGCCCATTTACTCCAGTGGGAGGAGCCAAACTCTTCAGGACCGAGGGAGGCCGCCATGACTATGGATTCCCATTGAAATGAATGGAGCCATGGAAGAAGAGGACCCAATGGGTCTGCACAGCTTTGAGCATTGGAACACATAATAAGTGTTAGATGGGGGTCATCAGTACTCTAGGCTGGTGGTGGTGGGCAGTACGTAAAGAGAACCTGTACCATGGAAGCTCTTCCCCAAAAAACGGCCAGCAGAGGTCAAAGGACTAGTCACCAGCCTAGCCTGTGCTCTCCCTGCAGCTGATCTTTCCCCATCATGCCTTCTTCTGCACTGTGTCTCTGTACGGAGGCGGCCATCTTGGTAGAGGCAGGGCTTTGCTTCCTTTATGTCAGAGTCTCCAGCAAGGAGAAGAGTAGTGACATCACCAAATCTCCTGAGAGTAGGAGTCAGAGACCGCGGTACCCGAGATGATCTCACGCTGCAGACATCCAGCTAGGAGACGGTAGGAATGCTCATATGCCAGAAAGGGAGATTTTTCGGGAGGATTTATACAACAGATACATTTTTCACGGTGTTCAGATTTCTAAATGCTCTACACAGCAAATCTTCACTTTGTGTCCTCCCGTTACCCTAAGGAGAACTATGGGGAAAAACACTGACCCCATAGTTCTCCTTTAAAAGGAAGATTGTACCAGAAGGTAGAGTTGTCCTTTCAACTTCCTTCCCATTCCGGGTGCATCAAAACAAAAAGGTGTGCAAAGTCTACAAGCTTCCAATTAGGGTTACAACAACGAATCGATAATAATCGATTATGAGAATAGTTGGCAACTATTCTCATTATTTTTAGAGAGAGAGTGATTTTTTTTTAATGCAACCAATCGATTAGTTGAAAAAATAATCGGGCAACTATTCGATTATGAAACTAATCGTTAGCTGCAGCCCTAGTTCCAAGCCGACTGTACAATCTCCTCCAGATCTGTACATAGTGCCGGAGCTGTCCTGATTGGATACATGTTGAAGGTATTGTTAAGGTGGTAACAGACAGGTCCACTTTATAGTTTTGTGGAGTCGGAATCTGGTATTTTGCTGAGCAGGCAACTTTTGCACATGGTGACTTTTCCCCCTCACTCGGCATTTTTGTCTTAA